TCGTCAAACTATACCTATTATAGTTTGACTGATATGTTATGTTCGTGTACCGTTCTGCAAAATATGCAATTATGTTTTGAAAATGTCCCTTATGCTCCGCATAATACAAAAGGTAATAAATGTCTATGTGTTTTATGAAACATGTTGGATCGTATCAATTGCATAAGTTTTAACTTTTTGAAACATTTCTGTTTTAGTTCACAAAAATACTTTTTTGTTTGCATGTATCCCCCCTGAAAATGTTTAAAAACATTAAAAGCGTTGGGGTATGAACTCACTATTTGCTTGTGTGATTCAAATGTTGTGTCGATAGGGATGATGAGTGTTAAGTGAAGCCTCGGACACAACCGGATCCTATTTTACATATAATAGCACATATATGTATTAGATTAGGATGCAACACTATCAGATGTGGAAGGAATAATAGCACATATATGTATTAGATTAGGATGCAACACTATCATATGTAGAAGGAAACCATCTTAGGGACTAGGAAACACTTGAAACTAAGTGTTAGAATCACATGTGATTTGAAAGAGGGGAGCTTGCGGCCGTAAAAAGGGTGTACGGTCATGGGTTTTCGGCCCAATTGAGTTTGTAGCCCATGGGTTTACGGCCCAATGGGTCTACTGCCAAGGAATTTGCAGCCATACACTCATGATGAAGTGTGTATTTGAGGCGTTTTGAGGTCCTTTCTAGCCCCTTGGAAGTGTTCTAAGTCCCATACTTAACCTTAGGATGAGTTTAAGGCCAATAATCAACCAAAAGCTAGGGTTTGCGGCCAATGAGGGGTGTACGACCGTACACATGGGTTAACGGCCATAAACCCTACATGATCATGTAGTTTGGGTCGATTTTAAGGTGAAAAACAAGCATTTCTAATAGATAACAAGCATAGGAAGGAGTTACTTACTATAAGGAAGCTTGGAATGGGGTTTTTTCGCCACCAAGAACAAGTGTGTGTTCTTGGTGAGAGTGAAAATCTAGACAAAGATGAGATAAATGAGGATGGAACATGGATTCATCACTAAATAAGAGATTGAAACACAATCAAGATAGAGGATCACTTACATTTTTGAAGATCCTTGAGAAAACCCGATGGATGTAGAGAGAGAGTAGAGAGAGAGAGAAAGCCTTTGAAGTGAGTAAAGTGTGAAAAGAAGGACATGCATCCCCTATATATGGGTGAGTTTTCGGCCAAGGGGTGGGTGAGGGTGTACAGCCGTAAACTCGAGTTTACGGCCGTAAACTCCTCTCGAAGGGATGTTCGGCCCGGACGCTATGTTAAGATCTAGAAAACTCGTTCTCGGTCCTAAACCTTAATTGAACTGAGCTTAAATACACGAATAGACCCAAAACAATGTTAAAAGATGGCGGAAATAAATTTGAATTGAATGATTTTAAACTGTTTGAACAATAATAAATTTCGGGTTGTCACATCGTTAGTCGGATAAACAGTTGCTTGGGCTGACAGGTATGTTGTAGTGGGATCATTAAGTCTTTTTGTTCCATATACAAAATCTATGATAGTTTGTAGAGAGGTTGAACCTGGAACTATCAAAAGCAAATCAGGGATCTGAATCCATGAGGTGTCCCGTGGATCGTCTGTGTCACGACGTCCAACTATCCCGTCCCCAATTCGAAGCAGCCAATCGGCAAAGGAAGTTGTTGAGAGTGTGTGCGTATCACTATCAATGGTAGAAAGCAGTCTCATGTTCTGAGTCAACATCTGAATTTGGAAAAGGCTCCATAGGTATGAATTTGGCAGCGTAAGGTCGAAAATTTGTGATCGTGTGGCCATTGGCAGAACAGGTAGTGTTTGTCTAAATTTTCCACCGAGAAGAACTGAAATACCACCGAATGGGTGTTCGTCACAGTCAAGCACAACCCGGAAAGATCTATCAAGGTATTCAAAGCATCATCTATCGCTCATTGGGGATTCATCCCATATGATGAGCAACATATGCTGCATAAGTTCACCTAGTAAGGTCCTTTTTTTATATCGCACGATCGCTTGTTGGTTAAATCGATCGTATCTTAAACTGTGAATGTGTTGTAGTTCTAAAGGGAAAAAGCAATGTTGCTATTCCAGACGCGGCAACTGCAAGGACAACTTTTCCAATCAATCTAAAGTATGAAAGAATGATCGTCCGTAGAAATGTCTTTCCGGTTCCCCCATGACTACCAACAAATATGAGGATTTGTTTGTTAGACTGAATGGAAGAGACAACATTTTGATAGATTGACATCTGATGCGTGTTTAGTTGTGGAAGCAGTTGAGCATGATGATCAGCTAAGACCCTCTTGTCATAGCTCATCTCTTCTAGGAGGAGTCAATTCTGGAGGATAGCAAGCACAACAGATGATGGCATCGGTAAATCGACATCGGCAAGTGACCTGGAAAGTACAGAAGAACGAAGAGTGTTTTCTAACTCATGAAGTAACTGCTGGCGAACTACATCATCTGTCACACAGAAAATCTTGTCAGGCAATGTCGATTTTAATCTTTACACGTAGTCATATGACATTTTTGTTTATGCTTCTTCCCATAAAATTAGCTTTGGATCACTAACTTTGCAAAATAACATCAAATTAAAAAAGGGAACGAAGTTGCAATAGTGTTGCCCACGTAGAAGCCTCGTTGAACGCAGTCATCCCCTACTATTCCCGTCGCATTACACGCAACTGTGTATGTTAGATGAAGACAGTCGGATATAGTACGTAGATCTTTGAAAGATGTGAACCTTTCTGATGGTAGAGTAACACTCGGAGATAGAATAGTTCACTTGAAGATGGATGAACAAACACAAGTCGACCAACCATGTTAGATGAATCATCCGCTCTCCTATCCCACAATTTGGAAGTGGCATCCTACTTGTAGTATTTTGGGTACTCAATGTATGTGAGGTCGTGACCCCTTGGGTCCCTCACGTTACTTTCAAAATTCAAACCATGCCAGAAGATTTGTTCTAGTAACAGATGGATTACAGAGAGCTTCTGATATTGTTGTGTTTTCTTTGAAGACAATTACCTGCATGTTCTCTTCATGGACAGCTAGAATTTGAAATGCCAGATACCGGTGAAGTATATGAAAATCAAATATTCACCATGTTGCCTCATGCGAACAAATATACCTACCATCCAAATAATTTTTTATCTCATCCATACATTGATCCTCTTCAGATGTGGCATTTGCTTGTCTATTGACACTGTCAATCGGTCCATCCTCATCAGCCTGTGCAATCTTTTGAATCGTATATCTAACGCGATCAGATCCTTTTGAAATGTACTTGAAAAGATATTTGATAATCATGTTCCAGCCATAGTATTTGACATTTATATGGGCTTCAAATCAGGAAGAAAGCTTTCTATTATAGGGAACAACATATTCGTTGTGTATGACAACTCCGCGTGATGTTGTGTGCTGGGAAAATGTTTCTTACATTTCCCATATTTCATACACGAAGCTTTTTTGTTTAGTGGTCCACATGGACCATGAACCATGCATCCTGTTATAATTGCATATAGCTGAGGTTCCAGCAACGGATCTAGCAACTCTGTTGTAATATATGAATCAACTTTATCCTGTGCGAACTGCTTACGCAAATTAACGTGTGACAATGAGTAATACATCTTTTCTGAAATTCTATTGTGTACAAATCTACAGAAAGAAATAAATATGTTATACAAGAAAGCAAAAAAAAATGAAAGCATATAATGAAAAAAGGGAATAATAAGGCAACTCGATAAGGATAAAAAATAAAAAAATGGTAAAACCAAAATTGTTGATGTACAATAAAAGAGTTTGGTTTTTCCATACGAAAAGGTTATTTTGTCTAATACATGTATGAAGTCAGTCGAACAAAAGCTGATAGTATGATATATATATATATATATATATATATATATATATATATATATATATATATATATATATATATATATATATATATATTAAAAACTATTGACAAATAACAGTTTTAACAGAAGTAGATATTAAAAAATAATAATTATTATATGAGGAAACCCGCTTTGTGGGGTATGGATTTGTTAGTAGTATAGAAAATAAGGGATTATTGATCAATTGGTTTGTTAGTTTGTGGTACGCTTTTGGTCGTCGTGGGTTATGTGTGTTGTGTTATATTTTCTTGTCAGTGTGGTCGATTTAATGAAGGTTGAACGAATGAAGTAAAGACGAAAACGAAACTGAAATAAGCATATATTAGATAGAAGTTATCTATTATCATGCGGGTACATTAAGGAAATCAAAATAAAGACGGTGTCCCGTGGTTACATATATATAGAACACCAAAAGAACGCATAGATGTTTATGCGATAGACAATTAAATAATTTTAAATTATTGAATACTTTAGCCCTAATGTAAACAATATACTTTAGCCCTAATGTAAACCATATATCTCATTACCCATTCGAATACCTTTAATAAGAGTACTAAAAAATCAATCTTCTACTGAATTTAAACCTGGAATGTCCAATCCTAATGAACTTATATTGAAACGCTTTGTTCCAAGCTTTGATACACATTTAACAATGTTCCTTGCTATACCTCCTGTTGCAGAGTAATCAACCCTTTGGTTAAAACGGGACAAATTGGTCCATAAAGTTGAAATAAATGATAACGGGGGTTGTTATAATTGTTGTTGTAAAAAATATCAATATATTTGTGTACTCTAATGTAATTGAAATGGTCCATAAAGTTGAAATGAATGACAACAGGTAATAGAAATGGTGGCTATTAACATTAGATACACATAATAGCAACATACTTTGCACTTTAGGCAAGGTATGTTGTTATTAAAAAAAAAAAATCTACAGGTATAAGGAAAACTTTATTGCGGGGACAATTTGGTCATAATTGTGACAGAAAATGGATGGGCAATTTGGTCCTAAATGGTATATAAAAACACATCAAAACCAACAATTTCGTCAATCTACTATTTTTACAACATAAAATTTGAAAAAACAAAAACTACATATTCATCTATTATCATTTATTCAATCAGACATCTTAAAACCAAGAAACATGGAATTTGGTAACAACTCATATTAGTTCTTCTAGAAAATTGGTATATAAGTGAATAGCCATCTTATTAAATGAATCTATTCTGAATTCAGACATCCATGTCATGTAGCCACTCTTTGTCAAACAGTTTCACATGAAGAATGAGACCTTGAAGAGTCGTGCTTACCCTATGAATAAAGGAAAAGTAAAAGCTAGATAAGTATATAGAGACATGATGATAACATTTATAACCAAAGAATGGAAATTGCACCAAATGGAAAAGTATTTTGGTTGTTTGCTAAAGAAGTTAAAAGAAATTGCACAAAAAAATAGGAATAAATTTGGTGAATTTACCACTTAAATATAAAAAATGCACCAAATGGAAATGTAATTTGTTTTTTGATAAATAAATCAAAAGAAATTGGAAAAAATAGAAAAAACGAACGGGAAGATATGAGGATATGAGGATAGTGGGTGAAAGATATGAGGATAGTGGGTGAGAAGGCGGTGGAGAAAGAACGAGAAGAATAGATTCGTGTGCACTTTGTTCTTTGTTTAAAAAAATAAAAACGAGCGGCTGGAAATTAGGAGAGAAAAATAGAATTTGGAATAAAAGGAGTGGTAGGAGTGGTAGATGAGGCGGTGGGGAAATAATAGAAATTGGAAGTTGAAGGGTGATAAAGTGGAAAGGTGAGGGTAAAATAGCATGTGTCCATCAAAGAAAATACGTGACAAACACATGTTCACAAAGATTGGACAAAATGGCATAAACTGCTCAGAAGATAAATGCATAACAAGAACGTGAAAAGAAAACAGACAACTATAAACAAATGACTATTTCTGTCTAAAATACCAAGAGTTCACTGTTCCTAACAATTGTCCAACTTTAATATATATACATATATATATATATATATATATATATATATATATATATATATATATATATATATATAAGAATGAACTGAATTTGGAAATGCATGAAGATGTTAATATAAATATTACAACATGTTGGATTAGTGTCTAAGTCCATAACTATATCTGGTATGTATTTGACCCAGTTGTGCATGGTCCTTTTGGGTTGCCTTCACCAAAGCAACGGGACAGGATGATTAGAGAGGGGTTATTATGGTTTATTAATATATTATATGAATAATATATTAAAGAGAAATCATATTAGTTAGTTAATATTGATCACAAATTAATTAGGAAATTAATTATGTGATAAAAAAAAGATTAATTGAACTGAGGGGACTAGTACTGCCAATTATAAGATAGTTGGATTTGGGCTGTGGATCCATATGGAAATGAGGGGGACGAAATTAGAGTGGAAGCCCACTCAGATTTCTTCCAAGGGCCTTATTCCAAAAGGTTCTTGGAGTTGCTTAGGGCCTAAACTATCCAATTAGGGTTTTGACTGAAACCCTAGCAGCTCAGCTATTTAAGAACCCCTAGGGCTACAGAATCCGGCCACCCAGTGAAACCCTAGGGTTACTATAGCCAAAATTGTGCCTCATCGCCCTCTCTTCTTAATCATCTTCTTTCCTTGGTGTTTGTAAGCCATTAGAGGAATTACATTTGTGATACTAAACTCTTGGAGGTTGAAGATTCTTGTTACTATCAAAGGTAATCATCTAAACTTGTATTAGATGTAGATTTCAAATTTTATAGTATGCTCGATTAGGGTTTACAAATTTTGGATAAATTTGGATGTGCAATAAAGAAACTTAGATCCAAAGATTTAGGGTTTTGCATGTGCACATAGGAATGTTCTTTTGCTCAAAACCCATCACAATAGAGGAAAGTTAGAGAGCATAGTAGAGATAATGGCAAGAAACATTAAAAAGAAAAAATTCAAAAAAAAACAAATGGTGAACTTGGATAAAAAAAAAAAAAAAAAAGGCATACAAAATGACAAAAAAAACAATAATAGATAACCTGGGATGGTAAAACCAACATGCATGCATCAATTTCTCCAAAAGGTGTATCCTCCTTTAGATATTTTATGAATGACTGGACTTTCAACTTAAAGTCTCTAGCGATAATATCTGATCTACTGTGGGTCTCTCTGACTGTGTGTATCCATGTAACACGTAATCTTCGACCATTTAACATTGCACATGAACGTAATGAAGTATTGTGGATTGTCATATACTCTACAAACTGCTAAAGCATCCTGATAGTGACTATACATATAGCGAGGACCACCTGTGAAAAATGTTGGTAGAAAAATGCGTTTCCCAACTAATCGTGACTCCCTATCACTTTTGAAAGAGCATCGTATAGACCCCTGACATATTCAGACCGAAGATTTTCCTGATGTGTGACAATAAATTGCAGACGACCCTCCTCAATACAGGTATACGTATCTACTAAATACTATTGATAGAGCCGAGAAGAATTCGGAATAGTGGACCATATGTGTCGACAACAATGAACATGGTATGCATAATACATATTAACAGTGAGATTTTTTGCTTCTGTACCAGTTCGATTACCCAATTATAAATGTGGAGACCATCTAGGCTCACCATATGGAAACAAAATAATATAATGTAAAGGCATATAAGTAGGATGAAGTTTACTAACATGCTGAGGACGACCAGAATTGGAGTGAATTGCAATATCATAACGTGTACTCACACTATCATCGCCAGTAACAATGCAACCCAAGGATTCCGCTGTATGTAAATCATACCTACGGTCAACAATATCATTAAATAACCGAACAGAATAAGATGGTATATTCATCTCATCAACAAACTTTTTGGCAGTCTTAAACGCCCACACATATTCATTGTTATCTTTCAAAAAGGCTACCAGAAATCTAACAATACTCTCATCCAAACCAGTTGTACTATGATTTTGAAAGGCACTTAACCTATTGCTAACTTCATTATCAGTGCCAAACAGATACAACTGAAGAAATCTAGGCCCCTTTACAGCATCAAGACAGAGGGAACCAATCTTATGGCTAATCTATCCTAAAACTTTGAAAACATAAGGACTACGATTTTCATTTATTTCATCATCCACATTAGCTCCAAAATACGTCATAGAGAACATACTATTATAAGCTCTAATATCCCTCAAAAAAACATCATTATGAAAAAGCGACATATATTCAGCTGGAAACCTAGGAGGATAGGGGAGAATAACATCACCAGACTTGCAACAACGACTATATCTCGGATGATGAGTTGTGGATAGGATGAGGCTCCTTTCGGCAAACCAAAAATAGACGCCACAATATTTGCACACACAATCACAATCCCCCAGGTCAAGAAGTGAGGAAGAACACCAGTGGAGTCCATCCATGTTGACCGGCGACGGCGGCGAAAAACAGAAGCAACTGAAACAGCCGAAGAAGAACCACAGTCAGCCCCAATAGATGACGGCCCAAATCACCACACCTTCGCTTTCGTTGACCATACATATTAAAAAAAAAAGAACGTAAATACAACCATACAAAAAAACGGAAGAACCCAAAAAAATTATAAGACAATTCCAAGATTTTACCTGTAATTACACAAAAAAAAAAAAAAAAAAAAAAGAGAGAGAGAGAGAGAGAGAGAAGAAACGAAAGAAAGAAAAACGACAGATTGAAAATAGAAAACAAAAAGAAATGGCCATAAATTTTTTTTAAGATATTAGAAAATCAACACAAATTACTACAATTGGCCAGCATAACGGTGAACATAAAAAAACTGAAACACATGGACAACAAGTATCAAAAAAATAGCAAATACTACATATTAAAAAAAACAAAAAAAAAAAACGAAAATTCAAGCAGACAAAAAAAAACAGAAGAACCCAAAAAATTATAAAACAATTCCAAGATTTTACCTGTAATTATAGAAAGGAAGAGAAGAGACAAAAGAAAGAAAAACGATTGAAAATAGAAAACAAAAAGAAACAACCATAAATTTTTTTAAAGATATTAGAAAATCAATACAAATTAATAAAGACACCAATCTAACTACAATTGGCTAGCATAACGGTGAACATAAAAAAACTGAAACACAGGGACAACAAGTATCAAAGAAACAGCAAATACTACCCAGAAAAGGAACAAAACCAAAACATAACATACGGGAATAAACGAAGGACCATTTCTACCAAAAACGTAGGAAGTTCACTATTCCTAAGAGTGGCTCTTCTTTAATATATATATATATATATATATATATATATATATATATATATATATATATATATAAATATGATAGAGTGAGAAAAATGCTTAAGTGTTACCTTTGTTTTCCTGGATGAATCAAATTAGGGTTTCAAGGAGTCAAAAAGTTGGATTTTGGAAGAAAATGAGCCCCAAGACGTAAGACATTGAGGCTCACGACGTGAGATGGGTACATATGAAAACTTTTTGTTTGGGACTGGTCTCATGTTATGAGACATAGGGTCTTACGACGTGAGAACTAATGTAGCCCAAAGTCATGATCTTTTAGGGTTTCTTTTGTATTTATACACCTCTAAACCCATTTTAGGGTTCATTATCAGCATCCAAACCCTCTTTCACCTCAGAAAAACCTAGCCTTCATCCTTTGCTTGATTCTTGGCCATTTTGGAGTATTTCTTGGTTTGAAGAATAAGGGAAGAATAAGAAGAAGTTGATCTTTTGGAAGAAGCTTGAAAGGAATAATCATCATCATCGCCTCTCATTGTTTTTGGGCCCTTGTAAGTGTCAAAGCTCCCACCTTTATAGTTGATTGTGGCTATATCTAAGTTTTGTCGCACTTTTCTCTTTGATTGAGCAAGTTTGAATGGATGTAAATCATAAAGAGGCAACTTTATGGGTTAAAAGGGCCTTAAGAGTGTCATGAAGTTCAGATATAGTGAATGGTTGGGTTTTGGAACCTTGCATGAAAGTTGGATGACCTTTTCTTCAATTATTGACCTAAATGAGATTTAGACATGTATTGGACATATATGTCTTAAAAGCATCAACTTTCAAGTATATTATGGAGTTATAAGACCTTCTCGAAAGTTAAAGTGAAAGGCTTAATGGAGTAAGGACTTAAATATTGGATTTTTGGCTTCAGACTGTGATCACGATGTGATACATAAGGTCTCACGATGTGAGGATTGAATGATCCCATTTATGTTAAGCTCTTTGGGCCTCAAAACTTAAGAGAAGGATGTTCACGTCGTGAGGTAAGCTCCAGTGAATTTTCATGTCTTGAGTTGGTTGAGTTGAGATGAGATAAGTTGGAATCCGACCGAGTGATCTCTCACGACGTAACCAAGGGCTGGTCAGGACATTAGGCTGAATAGTTAACATTATGGGTTGTTGACTTCGACTTTGACCATTGACATTTGACCAATGTTAACTTTTGGTCAAATTGTATTTGTAGAAGGTAGACTTAGGGTTTACTTTGTGGGGATTGATAAGAGGTGTTAAACAGCCATCATTTGGAAAGACAACAGTTAGTTGTGGTCGGTACGGTATTGAGTTGAGTTTTAGTCAGCATTGTGATTCAAGTAAGTCTCCTTACTGTACCCGTGGATCGAAGGCACCAATATCGGCCCACTAGGATCTATTATATGCTAACAGTCTTTGTAACTCTTACATTTTTTGTTGGGCTAGTCCTATTGTATAACGGGCTAGGCCCATTGTATGTTGAGTTAGGCCCATGGATCAGGAAGGGCTAGGCCCAATGTATGTTGTATGCTACTTGTCTCTATGACTCTTGCATTGTATGTTGGGCTAGGCCCATTATTGTGGTTGGGCCCAATGTGCGTGCTAGGCCCAAAACTATGTATGATATGTGGTATTTTGGGGAACTCACTAATCTTTGTGCTTACAGTTTTATGGTTATGGTTTCAGGTATTTCCAGTTCGAATGGGAATAGTCCAGCTTGATCGCAGCGCATCCATCCATGTTTCCGCAACTTTATGATTTCGAGATCATACTTTGATAAATATTCTTACTCTAATATACTTTTGAATGATTGAAAAGGATAAATGGTGGTTATGGTCGAATTAAAAATAAAATTTTTACCTTATAATTTTTGGGAAGTTCCAAGTTGGTATCAGAGCCTTGGTTTGAGGGATTCAGGCACACTCTCGAGTGTGAGTGAACTCAAATTGAGGAGTTGGTAATCTTTTATAGGAAAAAGAATTTATAAAACGAATTTTGTAAAGAAAAAGTGGATGTGATGCATACAATCGGCCGAGCTCAAGTAAGTGATTAACAGAATACCCATACATGTTGATATGTTATATGATATGAATGTTGCATGCTAGGATAAGGCTAAGGATACTTTCAGGAACTGCATGATAGATTTGTCTGATATATGATGTATTGTAGCCTAGGAAGCATTGGATGTTATGCTAGATTGGTAATATGTATTGGTAGCAATAATTGGTAAGTATATGCTTTAAAGATTGTATACGGTTAGGATCATATAGCCCTAGAATGACTAATTTGGCCTTATTTCTTGTTTTTTGTCTGGTTGTGGTCCTAGGGTAGAATATTTCATTCGATAGTCTATTTGATCCTGCATTGTATATAATTTGCATGCATAAGGCTACCGGCAGTGAGAATAGAAGTTCCTAGCATGATAGTAGCAAGTGAGCTTAGGAGGTCCTTTGTTTTTCTTGTGACTTGTAGTGTTGCTGCATGAATGTTGTTTGCTCTGTGCTTTGTGGGACCCCTGGTGATGTAGGTTAACTATTAAGTGAATACATAAATTTGAATGTTGCATGGGTTAAAAAATCTCAGAGTGATAGACTTGACCCTATTATGTAGCTCTTTTCTGAGTCCAATAGTTGTAGGGTTGAGTCTTTTACTCAAATGATTATCTAATCTTTGTTTCATGTGACTGTATTCATGAAGTGGTTAGCTGAAATTAGTGGGATTTGTTCAGCAGCTGATGGCAGGATTAGGTCGGGAACCTAGGAGAGCCTATGAAGTTCAGTAGTGGGTAGAGGTGGCAAACATGTCATGTTGTGTCAGGTTCGTATCGTGTCGAAACACTAAAGGGGTTGAAAGTGTTTGGCCCTAACCAAACACGTTTAATTAACGTGTCGTATCGTGTTAACCCGTTTATTTTCGTTTCAAGTTCGTGTCAGGTTTCATGTTAGGGGTATACCTTGAAATATATTATGTCACGTGAGATTAAAAGATTAAGCATGTTGAAAGAGTAGGAGTTCGGTAGATGGAAAGGAAAAACTAATAATTTTGAGGTGGAACAGATGATGCCATAGCATGTTTAAATGACAAAATTGAAATACTAGGAGCTGGGTGGCGGAGGACAAGATCATGACAACGAGAGAGTGGTCAAAGGGACTGTGTAGTTTGGGAGACAACGGAAAATTTGAAAAAGAACTCTTGATCTAGACAGCTACTCATTTCAACATTACAAAACAACTGAATCCAAATGTTTTCTTTTACTTATTGTTTTGATTTTGTATATTTGTTATATTGATGATAATTGAGAGAGATAGATATTGATAGAG